ACACAGTTTTTTCTTATGCCATTTTGTGGATTTCTTTTGTCCCAGATTTTGGCATTGCCTGAGGCACAAGCTTTTGGATTTGTAATGACCTGCACATGCCCAGGAGGGGGTGGGGGCTATCTCTTTGCTCTGCTTCTAGAAGGAGATGTCACTTTGGCCATTTTGATGACTTGCACATCAACATTACTGGCCCTGGTAATGATGCCTGTCAATTCTTACATATACAGTAAGATATTAGGGTTATCAGGTACATTTCATATTCCTGTTTCTAAAATTGTGTCCACCCTCCTTTTCATACTTATACCGATATCAGTTGGAATAGTCATCAAGCGTAGAATACCTGAAAAAGCAATCTTCTTAGAGAGAATAACTAGACCTCTGAGTTTTATTTTAATGTTTATAGGGATTTATTTGACTTTCAGAGTGGGATTAATGTTTCTAAAAACAGCTAACCCAGGGGTGCTTCTGCTGGGTCTCTTGGTTCCTGCTTTGGGTTTGTCGTTTGGGTACTCCTTTGCTAAAGTTTGTATGCTGCCTCTTCCTGTTTGTAAAACCGTTGCTATTGAAAGTGGGATGTTAAATAGTTTCTTAGCCCTTGCCATCATTCAGCTCTCTTTTTCACAGTCCAAGGCAGAGTTAGCCTCTGTGGCTCCTTTTACAGTAGCCATGTGTTCTGGGTGTGAAATGTTGCTGATCCTTCTGGTCTACAAGGCTAAGAGATTTATTGCAGAAGATAAAAGAAAAAATAATTTCCTACTCTAATGAAGCATTACTGAATTCTTACTCTGGGAGAGGCACTGTGGGAGATTCAAAGAATAGCTAAAATAATACCTACTCATAAGCCACTTGTGATCTGGTTAAAATTTGAAATTGGGGGCAGGGAGGAAAGAATACATAATCTCAGATGTGCTAATCACCGAATGAATGACACAAATAGTAAAATACTACACAAAACTATTGAGGAAGCATATAATTTTTCAATTGTGTTCATTTAGGAATGTTTTATAGAGTGTGAGATGATACTTTATTCCTGTCTGTTAAATGAGAAAAGCACTAGAAAACTCCTTCTGTAGTGATTATGATATATCCTAAATATTTAAAGAAGGGATATACACATAGTAGACGTTTGGTAAATGATCACTGAGCCAATGAATATATAAATTCCTATTGAGATCTCTCACTGGCTCATCGAAATCAATATGTCTTAAAGTATATGTCGCATCTCTGTTCTCAGAGCTGCACTTTCTCCCATCTTCCACATCTCCCACCAAAGGCATTACCCTTTACCCTGAAACACAGGTCCGCTCTTCTCCCTCTTTTTCTTTCTTGTCCTTTTTTTTTTTCTTTTTATAGTCGACCTATTTCCAATGGAAAATGCCCTATAATATCTTTTAATCAGTCTCCTCTCCTTTCCCAGCGCTACTCCTTTTGTTCTGCAACATATCACTTCTTCCCTAAATCTTTCTAAACTGGCTTCTGGCCTCTGTCAACCCTTTAGTCACTGCCAGACTAATCTTCCTGAAATCTAATTTTGACCATGTAATTTTCCTGCAATGAAGCCCTTTGGCCTTTCAGATAAAGTTTGTATTCCCTAGTGAGGCATTTATTACACTCTAATCTCTGACCTTAATCTGGCTTCCCAGTTTTATCTCCTCTTTCTCTTCTTTACACACAGTCTTTGCTGAAATCAAACAAAGAAAGAATAATTTGGTATCCGTGCAGGTTGTGATGGCCCTTGTTCACGCCAACTTGGCTTGTCTTAGAGCTATTTTTGTTCCTGTTGTATAATTCCAATGTTAATATAAATCCTTGAGCATAAAAATTAAGTTTATTTGTTCTGATACTTTCTATCATATCTACCACAATATTTTCTATATGCTTATTCAAAGAGAATGTTGAAGCACAGACTAGGGCCCAAATGAATAGTATGTGTTTTTTATACCACTTTTGAATTTTCAATGGAAATTTTTAATATATAGTTCAAATCTACACTCTTCTACAAAGAAAGTGTGGGCATCAAGAATAGGAACTATAACTCTAAAAATTTTTCCTTTTTCTATTTCCTAGCTTCATACTTATGGGCAAATTCTTTAATTCTTTAGTTTCCTCATTTCAGAAATGGAGATAATGGTGTCACCTCCATCAGACTGTCCTAGGAATTACATGAAATCACACATGTAATGTACTTAGAAGAATGTTTGACACATAGTAAGTGCACAGTGTTAGCTACTATTGTTATTTTATCAGAGTTTTAATTTTCAACCCTGATATACCAATCTTATAACCATGTATGGCGCCTAATACTTTCAACACTTTCCTATCCATGTTATTCACTATCTTACTCATAGTATTAGGGAATTTTTGTTTTCTTCACCAGCTCATAAGACAAACAAACTTCTTTTTGTCTTATGTCACCAAATCCAGTATATGAATATCAAGATTTATAAAAGACCTGGTGTGGCATGATGATAAATGGTCGTTTGATTTATAAAATGATAACAGCCTACATGATATATTTTAATCTTTTAAACAGAAATCTCCACTTAGAGGTTTAAAATAGAATCAAATTTGTACAAGTTGAACTTACATACATTTTAATAAGCATATTTGACTAGTTAGGGGACAGGAGACCTACCTTTGTAATTGTAATTTATTATAAAGCTTGTGACCTCGAACAAGACACTTGTCCACATTTCAGGTTTCAAATCTGTAAAATAAAAAGCTTCAACTAAGGTTTAAGGTTTTGCTAACCTCTGTAAGTCTGTAATTGTGGTATAAAAATCTAGGACCTAGCACCATGGATAAGAGTATGGGGTGAAGAGAAGAAGGTGCAGGTTGATGAGAATAACCACACTGCTTTTCCTTTTTAATTAGGGCAACAACCAAACTAGGAGCTTCCTGAGGGCAAGGACCACATACTATTCTTTGAATTTCCTACAGTGTTTACACGATGTATTGAACAGAGTAGGTGCTCATTAAACATTTATTGAATTAATTAATTAGTAATAGCTATAAAGTTCAGAATCAGATACTCTGGAGCCAAACTAGGGCTGGGCTGCAATTCCAGCTGTGTCAATTTACTGCCCGGTACATTAGACATGTTACTTAATCTGTCTATGCCCAAATTCATGTAGAAAATGGGGAAAATGATAGCACCTACTTCATGGTCTTGTTATGAAGATTAAATGAATTAATATGAACAAGGTCCTCAGAACAATGCCTAACATATCCTAAGCTCTATTATTATTACTTTTACTTTATGCATAGTTTAATGTTATTATATCTCATAAAGAAATTGAAAGTACATGGATGGAATTTGGAATATATTTTATTTCTTTTATTGATATATCAGGGAAGATAGATTTTGCACAACCTTGTCTGAAAATCTGGATGAAGATAAAGTGACTCAAGTTATTGTTTTTGGTTTTTTTGTAAGAAGGAGAGTCATAAAAGAGACTGTATAATCGGTTGAGTTCATATCTACTATTTTACCCAGCTATGACTGGTTAGACAAAAGATCCAGAAGTAGAGGGCTTAGGCAAGTATTTAAAAAAGTTTTGTTACATCCCTTAAGAGGGATGAGTCTATGATACACTGATCTAAGAATAACAATTCTATGACATATATTCTTATATTTTGGAAAGCTGTTGGCCTTGCAGGGGCATGTTAGAGGTCTTAACCAATGTCTGAAACTCCAACTTATGTTTTATCGAAGCACAAAATCTTATTAGATGTCCTGGACATTCCACTCCTGAGCAACTGTGCATTATGTGTATAAATTTGTTCATTTTTAATCAAAATCCACTTGAACAATTAACTATTAACTAAGAAAGTCTTTGCATTTGGAGCCTGAAATGTTTTTAGCAAAAGGTTTTGTCATTTAAAGAAGTCTTTTCCAAAGGCTAAGTAGAGTTAGAAAGATGCCCACAATTTCTAAAGAAGGCATTCCCATGGTTGTCCCTCTTTATTATACAAATACAGGGCAATTAGGTACAATTGCCCAGGAGGAAGAATGACCTGACCACTTTGTGGCTTGACAAAGGCCATCCTTCCCCAGAACTCCCTCCTGTGCAGTCAGGTGTCTGGGGAGGTGTCAGGGGCATTAGATCTCACCTCCTCCATTTTGAGGTGTAGCCTAATTAGAACCTTCTCATAGTTGGGAGTCAGCTAACAGGACAGGATATGAAGGCCTCCAAGAGGGAACTCGCCATTTGGGAAGGATGGAATGGAGATGTGCTAGACATCATGTCAGTAAGCAGATTTTGCCCTGGCACAGTATGTGGCTGAGGCCAGAACCTGTCCCCTGCTTCCCACGAACACCTCACCACAGCAGATGTTCTTTGGGATTGGGAGCAATGGCTGTAGATGTGACTATAGCTTAAAAAACAGCCCCTTTGGGAACCCAAGACAGATGCATTAGGTGTTGAGGCCTCTGCAGCCATCTGAACTACTTTCACAGCACTGGACAAAAGATCTTTTGGATTGTGTGGGACCAGTTTGCAGCACGGCCACGACCACATCTGAACACTAGACTTCCCTGTGCACTGGCAGAGTTTTCATTTCCTTTCAGCAAGGCATTTGAAAGCAGAACGGCCTCTTTGGACTGAAGAAAACTGAGTTACCTGAGAACCATTGTGAAGAAGCAGCTGAGGCCTCTAGAAAAAAACTAGACTTCCTGCACATCTGACAAAGGAAGCTGGAAATGATTTTAACTTGAAGAAATAAGATATTTGATGTTTTATCTATCTTACATCAGATTGGTTACACTAACTTAGCAGCTTTGCCAAATCAGTGGGACCATGTTCATTTACAAAAAATTTAATGATAACTGATAACATTACTGCAAGTGCCTGGAGAATTTTCTTTGGTTATGAACCAACACTTGTCAGCATGCTATTGACAAGACACTCCTTTTAAGATAATTTACAACAAAGAATGAAAAAACTAGTTTCTGAAGGCTTTTTTAAAATCACGAAAACAAAAGAATGACTTGATAGACAAATAGTGGTATCCAAATCAGATACCTAAGACATCACTCTTTAGAACAAAGAGAAATTTCTTACCCTTTTTGAGGTGAGCATTGGGTCCACAGTTCACATCATTCATTTTTGAGACATGTTTCATTTGCAACACATTGAAGACAACATCTTGTCTTTTGATTAAACTAAGGGAATCAATCACTTTATAAGCAAGGAGCCAAATAGCTCACTTTCCTGGTCCTGTTATGGTTTGGACATCTTATATCTGTGCAATCCTTTTTGCATTATGATGATATATATCCCACAATGTCACCCTTTCAAGAAAAGTATGCATTTTAAGGGCCATAGACTAGCCCTTGTACCTCATATAATGCAACCTCCTGAAGCCATATATTCTCTGGGTATGAACTCTTGTAGCAGCAAAGTGAAAAATACCCCTTTGCCCTCTGAATGTTTGCTGAAAATCAACTGATCAAAGGCAGATTAATAGTAAAAAAGGATACAAGTTTATGTGATCATAGTTTTATGTGGCCTGGTAGCCTTCAGAATGAAGACCCAAAGATACAGGGGAAAGAGTCCATTTTTATGCTTAGATTCAACAAAGTATGGACAGCTTGTAGAAATATAATCGGACAAAAAAGGTATTAATATAATCCAATGCTAATAGACTGAGTGGGGAAATCCAGCAAGGCCTGGCTGTTTAGATTCTTCCTGGCCTCCCTCTGTATCATTCTTTCCTTCTGGGTAGTGGTCAGGGTCCTCTATGAATGGGGACCCTATGACCTATGATCAGAAAAAACTTGTCAGATAACTTAGATTCAGTTTTTACACAGAAAGCTGGGGGAAATTTACAGTGACATCATTAGCTTTTATAGGTGGCTTTGCAGAAAAGACTTTCTGATTCAATGACCTGCCTTTGGGAAAAGGGATTCTAGTTTCTATGGCTACCCTTGGGGGAGAATTAGAGGCTGGAGGCAGGAGGGCAGGAGAAGTCAGAGAAAAACTTTTGCTTCTGAGACCTTCATTTTGGGGTATTTTTTTTTAGCCTCAACAATCTGAAGTCACTATGTTTCACTCTCTGCCCCTGGTTTGTGACCTGAGGACAAATCACTTAACTTCTCTGAGCCTCAGTTTCCTCATCTGTATGATGAAGCTAATCATACCTTCCTCATGGAACTGTTGCAATGTTTAAGTAATGCATATAAAAAAATAATTTCCTGAAGCATATTAAGTCCTCAATAAATGGTGGGTAAAGGAATTATCAAGAATAAGGGCAATTGGTTTAGGTTATCAGTTATCAAAGCAAACAAAAAAACAAAAACTACCATAGGTTTACTTAGTGTAAGTTTGGCAAAAAGAAAAAGGCTGCACAAATGGAGTTCTATCTCCAATTTTTTGTTTTGTCAAAACAGTAGTATGGAATAAATGAGAGAAAGAGAGAAGGAAAGTAAAATGGGAAAACATTAAGGAATGGAAGATGAAAGGAGAAATGGGCAAAATAGAAAAGAAAGGAATTTTTAATTATTTAGAGTAGAACAAGCAAGCAGGAAAAAGCAAGTTAAAAGTGCCAGAGATGAGAAGGAACAGGCCACATCTGTGGCAAGCAGGTCAGGACCCAGCCAGGCAATGCAGAAGTTTAAGGGGCTGCTGGGGGCGGGGCTCCAGCAGAGGTAGAGGCGGGGTTTAAGCAGTGGGGCGGGGTCCACAGAAGCCAAGCCACGCCCCTCAAGGACGGCGCTTAAAAAAGCGGAACTTCCTGTCTGGGTAGCCCCTCTGCATCCGGGAGATCTGAGTAGCGGGTAACGCCGAGCATCAAGCAAGGAACTCGCGCTGCTGCTGGAGGTGAGAACATATAGTCCCGCTATCTCTAGCCACCCTCTCCACGTTCAGTGGACGCTGTGGGCCTGGGTGGCGCGGGGCGGCCCCTCCCCGGGAAGGGCGAGGACAAACGCGTTCGGTGGAGCGAGAGTCGGCGCGGCGGGGGTGGGTGCCGGGGCGGAGGCCTCATCTGGGTGACCTCTGCCCTGCTGTGTATCCGGAGCCCTTGTCGAGTGGCGCTAGGAACAATACTAATGTTTGTGTAGCGGTTTCATCCACGCCATCCGAAGCCTGTGACTGCTTATGTAGAATAATTGCCCCCTTTTAATTTTTACCTCGTAAGAAGCTCAGAGAGACCTGACAGATTCCCAGGGTCAGTTAGTCACAGTGATGGGGCAGCGCCCCAGATCTCGTCCTATGCGGTGTCGCGCTGCTGGGGACAGGGACAGAGAGGAAGGTGGCCTGGCTCCCACTGCTGGGAAGGCTGTGACCAGGAAAGACACAGTTGGAAACTTTCATATGTTTATGTTTTTGGGAAAATGAAGTGAGTAAAACTATGGCCCCTTAACATCAAGAAATGCACTTGTGATTTTATATATATATACACACACATACATACATGTATGTTATGCGTTCCTCGTAACTCCCATAGCCCTTGTTTTACAGTCTTTTGTTATAATGTTGAGGTGTTGCAGGTCTCAGAAACTGCAATCTCTCTCTCTGACCTTCTCCTGCCCTCCTTTAACCTGCCCCTTTTTCTCTCCAAGGCAGGAATCTTCCCCAGCCTTTCTGTCTTGGAGCTGACCATAAAGAAATTCTCTGACCTTTCTTGTCAGATTGTAAGTTATAAGACCCCCATTTCAGAAGGGGTCCTATGCCATACCCTGGAGAAAGGAATGCTGCCCAGAGGGGCCAAGAAGAGTCTGAACAGACAGGGCTTCTGTGTTCCCCACTCAGTCAATTAGTATTGGATCATTTACACTTTTTGTAGGATCACATTTCTCCAGAATTGTCAATCATGCCTGGCCAATTAAGTCCAGACTCAGGACTCTGTTGCTTCCTACTCAGATAACTTACATATTTGTAACTGTAGGCCATACCTCTCCTCTGAGCTCGAATCCATGTATTTAGCTGCCAAATTGACATCTCCTTTGTATTCACAGAGGCCCCTCATCCTCTCCCAATTAAACTCTTGATCTCCCAACCTGCCACCCAAATCCCAAACTCCACTCTTTTTTGTTGCTGTTTCAGTAGATGTCACCATTATCCATGCAATTGCCAGAGTGGGAAATCTGGGCATCCTTGAACTATTCCTCTCCTCATACCCAATATCCAATTGGTTACTAAGCAGAAGAGTGTAATGGGAGTAACAATGAAAGAAAAGAAAGTTTGGAAATAATTCTTGAAGAGCTCTAAGGAGTTATTTATATAAATCAGAAAGTAGACTCCTTTAAAAAAATTTTAAATGCTTTTATCAGGAGAAAAAGCAACCAGCAGAAACTCACTATATGGGTCCTTTGCCCTCCCTTCCTCTCCCCTTTCCTGTAAGGTGAGCACCAAGATAGGGATTTCTGAGTAGTCCTCAAGATGCAACTCTGTATCAGTTATTCTCAGTTGTAAAGGAGACAAAGTTAGGGTTGTTTTATAAATGATGCCACAGTTTTCGAGTCTGACAGCTTCAAAAGCTTCACTGTGCTAGGTACAGATTTTAGAGTGTGGTCAAGCCAGTGGTGAGTTATTTTAGTCTTCAGAAGTCAGTGAAAAGCTAGAGAGTTCAGAGGACAAATATATGTTGTGTTTTTCCCCCCTCTCTGAATCTCAGGGAAAGAAATTTTCCTTTTTTATTATTTTTGGGGGCCTGGAATTTTTTTCTCGGAACGTCATAGTAGAACAATGTACTTTAAAGTCAGAATTGAGTTCAAATTCTGACTGTGTCCTCTGTATATTCTTGGACACATTATTTCTCATCTTGAGCCTTACGTTCTTTATCGTTAGAACCTTCTTAAAAACAAAATGTCAAGTGTAAAGCACCTAACTGCCTGATGTTCAGTTAGTACATACGCGGTTTGCTCCTTCCTTTCAAACTGCTTTCATTTCTGTATTTCCAGTGGTCTTTCTCTTATTTTTACTTTATTTTCCACCCAAGCATTTACCAATCTTTAAAAATGTTTCTTCTATTCTTTCTTCTTCATTCTCCAAACCAGTTTTTTTTTCCCTAATGTGATATGCTATGGACAGACTGGGAGACGATTTCATAGAATATTTTTTATTATGAAAATATTTTTACAGTAGAAGTAATTTATGTAAAAATATGTTTTTTTACTGGGCCTAGGAGTAAATGTTGGAAAAAAAATTGACCTTAGAATGCAGCGGGATGTGAATCCTGAAATTAAAGTCTATAGATAATTCAGATGCCTTTGTGAAGTTGTGAAATAACTATTCTATAATTAAGACTTTTAGAGAATTATAACTACTTTGTGTTGATATGTGTTAAATATTTTCAGAAGATGGCTGATCCGTGGCAGGAATGCATGGATTATGCAGTAACCCTAGCAAGACAAGCTGGAAAGGTATGAGCTAAAACTTTGTCAGCCACAATGTGATGGGTGTGCATAGTGTGTGATTGCCTTGTTAAATGAAATACATATTTTGATTACATTCATTTTCATCTTACTAAACACTCTAAATAGAGTGAATGCTCCTATTTTATATCACTAAACTTTTTGTGATGGCAGTTGTTTTTCTAAAATAGGTTGTAAGAGTATTTATAATTTTTGTCCCTAGTAAGTCATTACCATTAAAACCTTATTTTATAGACATTTTTGTAAGGCATTTTTAAGAATGTCTTTAAAGAATATCACTTTAGACAGATTGAAAGTTTTAAACCATTTCTGTATTTTATCTTTTTGTTTGATTTAAAATTACTTATTCCTTTTCTTTTTGCTTATCAAAAAATCTTTTTAGGTGGTCTGTGAGGCTCTTAAAAATGAAAAGAATGTTATGCTGAAAAGTTCTCCAGCTGATTTGGTAACTGTTACTGACCAAAAAGTTGAACAAATGCTTATTTCTTCCATAAAGGAAAAGCATCCGTCTCACAGGTATTTCTTTCTTCAATTTCAAATGATAAAATGAAACCCAGGTTTAAGTCAATATACTAGGCAAGAACTTTGTTTCTAAACACAGAAACTGACTTTGGTTAACTTAAGCTGAAAAGCAATTTATGTTGAGGGTGTTGGGCAGCTCAGGCAGGAATCATGGGAGGGAGGAGGTGTATACCTAGGCGACGTAGGAGCCTTGCCTTAGGAAGCTGCTGGTGGCCTCACTCTTGACTTTGATGGTTTTGAATACTTGTAATCACTATTCTATCTTGACCTCATTAGCTTTAAGATTACAGCTGGACAGAAGCTTGTGGACAGAAGCTTAGGTTGTTTGCCCATGCTCAAGCTGCCAGGGAGCAGGGGAGAGGGAATATTTGGATTTCTTCATAGAAAGAGGAATGTTTGAATGCTGGGAAGCCAACATGACAAATGTCTGCCAAGTTCAATTTTATTCTCTATATTGCAAACTTCTCTATATGGTAGAGTGGCGGTAGCTTTAGTGAGTTTGAGAGAAAAATCCTAATTCAGGGCTCTTTTATAGCCATGGAAATTTGGCAAAAACATTGTCATCCTTTTAAAGTGTTAGCACTGTCATTCTGTACTTCTTCCTAGTCAGGCCATTCTTGGTCTTTTTAGCCATTGAGAAGAAAAAATGTTTAAAGCTGTGACTAAATATACTTCCTCCAATAAAAAGGTTTTCAGCTAAGAGAAAAAGAGAAAAGAAGATCATGATAATGCATGTTAGGACAGTTCAGTGTTAAAGGAAAGTAAAAAGAAAACAGGAAAGAAGAAAACCAATGAATCAGACACCAATTTTGGAATTTCCATAAGATTTATTGCATAGCATGATTTAGGAAGGCATGTACACACACAGTAGTTTGGGTGATTTGCTTTCTCATTGATTATTTAATGTTGTCTGTATTAGTAATATATTACTGCAAAGCAAATTATCCGAAAAATGTAGATCTCTAGACAACAAACATGTGTTATCTCACAGTTTCCTGGGGTTACAGAATATGGGAGTAGCTTAGCTGCATGGTTCTGGCCAAGGCTCCCATGAAGCTACAGTCAATGTGGTCAGGGCTGCAGTGATCTCAAGGCATGTCTGGGGTTGAAGGGTCACTCACTTGTGTAATTGCTGACACACTTCAGCCCCTCGGGGATTGTCTGCTGGTGGCTTCCCTCAGTTCCTTGCCATGTGGGTCTCTTCACAGACCAGCTCACAGCATGGCAGCTGGCTTCTTCCAGAGCAAGGAGCAGGTGGCTCACGGAGAGAGAAAAAGAGTAAACAAGATGTAAACCACATGGCCATTTTATGAACTAGCCTCTAAAGTTTTACACTGTCACCTCCACCTTATCGGTTGGAAAGGAGTCACTAAGTCTAGCTTGACTCAAGGTTAAAGGGTGTTAGCCTCTACTTCTTGAAGGGAGGGAATATGTTGACTTATTTATAAAATCACATTATCTTAATGATTTCTCATCTGCAGCCAGTGCTCTTTTCAGGTGTTTGTGTATGTACACATGTGTGTGCTTTCACTTTGGTATTATTATATTTTAGAATTTTTAATTCTGTAATTTTTCACATATCTTTGCTCTAAGGGTAATAAAGCTTCCTGACTTTTATCAATTTTTGCAGAAAGGAAAAAGGAGCAACAATGGAAAAGTAGGGTACAGATTTTATTATGTTTGATAGTAGATTCTCTGTAGCTAAGGAGATGATATGGTTTGGAAATTGTTGAAAGCAGTGTAAAGATTAGGAATTTGTCATTCTTCCCTTTAGTTTCATTGGTGAGGAGTCTGTGGCAGCTGGGGAAAAATGTGTCTTAACCGACAACCCCACGTGGATCATTGACCCTATTGATGGAACAACTAACTTTGTACATAGGTATGCTTTACAATTTTTAATATAATTACTGTTGGTATATTAACTGGGTGGCCTTTTAGAGCGCTCTGTTGAGGAACATATACACTTTACAGAATTGTGTAATTTGTTTGTGCTTCTTTATTCTAAGAAAGTCTAGTTAGAGTGAATAGTAGAGGAAAACGCATTATGCAGACCTCTCATCAGATGTGGAGGAGGGGAAGAAATATTAATTTGTGATCCTGTCTTGTGCTGCAAAGCGCCCTATTCACCATTCTTTTCCTCACTGTGGGAGCCATGTAAAAATGGAAGCAAACATCGCTGCTTTGAGATCAGTAAAGAAACTAAGGATTTCACTTTGGAAGTGTTGTCACTCCAGGATATAGAATGAATGACTTGAGTCCAAGAGAGCGAATAGGGTTCAAAAGTGCTGGGGTATTAGGGTCAATAGATTTGGGCTTCCATTCTGGTCCTTTTTTATTGTGACCTTGGGCAAGTTAGTTAATCTTTCTAAACCTCAGTGTTTAAAAAAATGTATAAAGTGGTCATATTAATGGCACTTGCCTCATAGAATTGTTTGTTGTTGGGACTTTAAATAGGATTTAGCATAGTGCTTGGTACAGAGTAAGTATACTGTAACTCAGTATATTACCACTAGAAGAAAGCCTGATGGAATTGCCCGCAAGAGTTATAATGAGTAACCTGGTTTGGTGGGAGTACACATCAATGTTGTATTTGAAGTTGCCATGTAGTTGTACACATATATACTGCATATGTAACCATTAAACTATATAAAGTTAAGGCCTAGAATCTATATGTGATAGAATGTTGTATCTTTTAAATTTAGAAAGATGCTAATATATGGTAATATAATAATACAATATAGTATTGCAATATTGTAATATAATAGAAGATTGTATACAACAGTGTATACAGTATGATTTTATTGTTAAAATAAAAACTATATTAAATATTTAAAAGTTTTTATTTTCAGTAGTTATCTTGAACCTATTTATCTATTTTCTTCATCTTGTTTCTTTTGTGAATCAGAAATTAAAACCTCTGTTCAAGTTTTCATGCAACCATAGAAATAAATGTAGTTTACTTTTCAGATGTGAACCTGTAAGTTTGTTGTGGAGTAGAGAGAAGTAACAACAATTTATTCTGTATAATGCAGTACCTGTTTCTATCAAGCATCCAGGCTGTAGGAAAAATGACCGAAAAAGAGTCTTTTCTTTTTAACCATAATCAATTTAAAAGTTTAAAAAAAATTTATTTTTATTTTTTTGAGAAAGTATTTTTACATGGTTACTACATTCATGGCATTTGACATTCTAAGGATATAAAATGGCATGCATTGCAAGGTGCCCTTCCTACTTCTGTCTCTGGTTTCCCAGGATCCATCTTTGGAGGTAACCATTGTCATCAGTTTCTTGTAAATCCTTTGAAAGGTGTTTCATGCCTGTAGAAGCATCTCATCTGTATGTATATATAATACCCTCCTTTTCCCTACTATGTAAAAGAAGGGTTGTATACGGCACACTGTGCGTCTTACATTTTTTGAGTGGGGGAGGGATGAGACTGCTTATATGAAAAGTTATGTAAGTACTTATGAACAGATGAACTTTGTTAATTTTATTAAAAAATTCTATCTTGGTAAATTTTTGTTTTGTCTTTCTTTTAAGATTTCCTTTTGTAGCTGTTTCAATTGGCTTTGTTGTAAATAAAAAGGTATGTCGTTTTAAATGTATAGTTGATAAAAGACTTTGCTGTCCTTTTCTGAGAAAGAGTGACTCTATCTGCATAATGAATTCAGATTTTTCTATATATTCAATTCATATAACTGCATTATTTTGAATATAAGCTACAGGACTGTTAAAATTTTCATGATACAATTCCAGTGAAGAAATTTATCGTTTTCTGAAAAGCAGGAATTGTAAGGAGAAGATACACAGAAGTAACTGAAGTACGATTCAGTATTTAGTCACTGTTATTTATATGGTAGAGTCAGATGTGCTAGAAGTTGATGGGTAATCAAAAATGCTCCATGGAAGTAGAATTTGAACCAGGAATGCTTTAATAGTTGTCAGTGAAGAGAGAGATTGAAAGACCAGAAAGTAGCAGGGGCCAAAGACTGGTTGGAAAATGCATAGTATATTTGGGAACCTACACATAATTCAATACTTCTGTCTAATGTACACTAGAGTAAAATCTGTAGCTGTTGCATTACTATTTGCCTGTTTGGTTGGTCAAACAGTGATGAATGTTTACTAATATCTTACATGCCTGTCTTCAAGGAACTTGTGATATTTCATCAACATGTAAACAAAATAGTTAAGAAATATCTGAAAATTAAAACAAATTAGTACAGATAAAAGCTTAGCCTTTGGATTGTATCAATCTGAGAACATCCAAAGGGAGCTAAGTGAACATTTTTTATATAATGAGCCCCGGGCTAGGTACTGTCCCTGTCACTGAACTCACAGATCAGTGCAGAGTTAGATGTGTGAACAGATAAACATAATGTTTGGTAGAACCATGAGAAAAAATACTGTGGGAACACAGAATGTAACACCTTCTACCCAGTGTGGGTTGGGAAACTGTTCCTAACAGAAGGAGCTTAGAAATTGGTCATGTGAGTTGGCGCTTAGAAAATTAGGGGTTTGCCTGATAATAAAAAAGGAAAGCATTTTAATCAGAAAGAACAGCATGGAGAAGTTGAAGAGCATGATTTGTATGGGGAGCAGTGAGATGTCCATCCAGGGGGGAACACTGGAAGTGGCCAGAGCAGAGGTTGGTGAGATAAGTTACTTGTGGCCTTACTGTGAGACATTGTGGCCTGTCCACATGAGAAATTCAGTTTTTCTTTCTAGGTGTATAAAACCAGTAGAGATTTTTAACTGGAAAGTGACAGATAATTCCAGCAATGTAGAGATTCTGCTGGGGAGTGGGTGATTCTGAACTAAGATGAGGCAGTGAGAATAGCCAAGGAAATGCCAAAATTGCAATGTATTTTTACAATAAAAATTGAAAGAGGAGATTTGTGGGGAAGGAATGGGAGGTGACCAGACAGTGAGTGATTTTGACCTCTGATTGAGGCTTCTACAAGACTAAGTTCTGAAATGTAGACTCTTCTTTGTGTTGATGGGAGCCAAAATTATAGGTGATAGTGGAATTTGTGGGCTGGAACTGACGAACCTGTAAGAATATGAAGAGCTAAGAGGGAAATGGAGGCAATGGAAGAAGGAAAAAGTGTGAGGTGCACAACTTTTAAGGGTGGGGCAGAGAAGAAGGTTCTGAAATAATGACACTGAAATGGATTAATGAGCCAGGGAGAACTAAGTAATGCCAGAATCATGGAGGTACTGAATTAAGTGCTGATGACAGCCAGCTGTCTCCAATTCTTTAGACAATGCATTTGGTCAGGAAGGGTTCACTGATGTTCTGTGTGTGGGAGTTTCAGAAGAATGAGTGATCAGGGCAGAAGCCAAAGTGCAATGTATTAGAGGAGAATAGGAGATGCAAAGTGTGGACTGCTGTTTGCCAGTGAAAGGAAAAGGAGAGGATAGCATTTTGAAAGTTTTGTAAGGGAGGGAGAGACTTGATGAAAAGGTACCAGAAGAAAAATCCAAGAGGATAGGGATCAGTTGATGCAGCAATTTTTCGGGGAATATATGAGAGGACAGGAATCATAACACAAGAGGAAGTGTTCACCTTAGAAAACAGGAAAGATCTGTCTTCATCTGAGGCAGAAGGAAGAGAGGTAAGGTGGGTGCTCTTATTTAAGTCTGGACATGGATGGGAGGGGAGTCAAGGATTTCAGGTCCGAAGACCTCTTCGTCTGATTAGGCTGGAAACCAACATTTTATGTCTTTCATTGTTTACCCGTTTCAGTACATTAGTCAGTAGTCCAGATTTTCTTGTTACTGTCCTAGAAAAAACATATTGATTTAATGATGAAAAATACTCAGGTTTGGTAAAGGAAACTTGTTTTCCTTCTGCAGATAGAATTTGGAGTTGTGTACAGCTGTGTGGAAGATAAGATGTACACTGCCAGGAAAGGAAAAGGAGCCTTTTGTAATGGTCAGAAGCTACAGGTTTCACAACAAGAAGGTAGGTTTAATCTTCAATTTTTGGTACAATTGATGTTGTGTACTCCTATTTGATTATTTTTAATTTCCCTTTTGGAGTTCTCCAAGTGTTAACTGATTCATAAATTATGTTTATTTTCTCTTTATTCTTTTATTTCGACTTGTATTTTGAATGTGAAGTGGAGGCAGGAAAAGCAAATGCAATTGAGCAAACACTTCAGGCTCAACATTGTATTGGGTGGTGGAGAGGAAGATGATGAAGACTGGCTTTTTATCTTAGCTGAGTTCATGGTTTGTTGTTTTAGCCACCGCATCTCAGATTCTTCATAGAATTCTTCCAATCTGATGCCATTGGGAAAGTAATTAAGAAAAAAAAAAGTTCTTTAAAGCTAGGAATCACTAAAAATGATATGTATACATTTTTATGAGCTGGATGATTGGCATTTTAAGTCTTTTTCTGTGACAACTGTTGACCTAAAAGGAAGAGGCTCAGGCAAAATTAATATAAAGAGTTTATTTGGGCCAAGGTTGAGGACTGCAGCCCAGGACACACTTCCAGATTGGCTTGGAGAGTGCTCCAGAAAACAAAGGAGAGGCTGAAGTTTTTAAGGAAAAAGGGAGAAATCAGAAGAGAAGGCAATTATAAAAGTCGCTCGTCAGGAATTCTCATTAGTTTACAGAAATAATATTGGTTAGTGATTGGCTGTACATTGTTGAACTGTAGGGCACATGGCATTTTATGGCTACTTGCTGTCTGTTAGTCTGAATCCCACACAGCAAGTGCCTTCAAGATGTAATTATTTAACTCAAGGCAGAGAGACATGACTGCTGTTATATTTCAAATGCCTCTCCGGGCCTGATAATTTAAAGGGGCTTGACTTCAGATAAAAAGTTTTTTTGTCTTTTTCATCGCTGATTGATATTTTGAGTTACCTTTCTTCCACAAACCACATCCAACATTTTCCACAGTTTTCACGTTCGGATTCTTTTAAGTGCAGCAAGAACTTAAAGGTACTTGCAAAACAATTTGTGTTCAGACTGTAGCTTCTGGACTTTAATATTTTTCCCCTCAATCAAGCACTTAATTTTAGCGCAGTTTTTTACTTCATTTCCTTTTTATTGAATTCTAAGACCCCTAGGATTGGATGATGCATCCTAATTTTTGAGGTGTTAACATGTGTAAAATGTGCTTGTTAGCAATGAAGGAATGCGTTAGCTTTCATAGAAACAACTCTTTCCCTTTGCATAATCATTCCTCACTTTACATAATATTAAATTAAATTATGTATTAATAACTATTAGAAGTGGTGCCACAGTTAGAAAAATGTTGGGAACGAACATAGCCGGTGACCACACATCTCAGGAGGTAAGGAGGTAAAGTGTGGGGAGTGTCGAGTGTGTCCTGAGCTGCAGTCAGGTGTTTTAGAGGGGAGTGGAAAACACTGGATGATCTGTATTTAACTTTTGTTTTCTTTCAAATCTGTACCTAAATCCCTTGCTGAATTTAATTTCAAACTTCTACTTTTTTTATATTTAAAGTATTTGCCTGTTTCCCACTAAAGGTATCATGCCTGCAGGCAAATTGGTTATATTTTATACTTTTGGGGTATTGGTCTAATAAGTTGGACTCTGATGCTTATAAAAAGGATCACTTTGAGATAATAACTTTATTAGTGTTTTAATATTTAAAGACTTAGAAACAAATTTGTTAAAACTTAAGTGAGGGATAAAAATGTCCTATTTCATTCTGAATTGTAAGTGTC